GTGGAGGATTCTTTCAAATTTGAGCCTGCAAGATGCTGAGTCTGCCTTTCTGCAGTTTCTTCCTTTTAGTCCATCTTCTTTTACCTTGCGCAGGATGGAGGCTTTCTTCACTTGGGGATTTACAGTTGAGACTTGCCTGTTCCCCGTGATTGTTTTCCCTTTCCATGGTGACTGACAACTTAAGTAATTATGTGGTCTTCCTTCTATTTTACCTTTTGTGTATTCATATTCTTTTCATGAATGCTGGGAGCTCTGAATATCTAGAAGCCTTACAGAAGCACGGGAGTCTTGTCAGTACCTATAAAGACTGGAGCTCTGTCGTATTTGATCTAGTCAGAATGGAGTGCAGCAGTAAAATTGTGTACTTACATCTACAACTGTTAGTGATAACTATTTTTTTCTTCAGTTACTCTAACTTCCAGATGCCCTATGTGAATAGCCTTTAGGAAACAGAACTTACAGCCTTGAAAAGCAATGACAAAATGTAGCTAAAAATAAAGATCTCTTACGGGATTAAAGTCAGGCTAAAGATTTTGTAGTGTCTAGAGGTTTTATATTGTACTCCTGTTCATGCTTTCTGTAAAAGACTCTAAGTGACCCATGAAATTGGAATTATTTCCTTCCAACCACCTTCTTTGGGTTGGCCCAGAAGTCTTGAGGCAAACATTTCTGTGTAGACTCCTCAAAAGAATTTTGCATCTCGGTGGGCATCCAGCATAGTTTTTAACAGATATTTTGTTCCTGTTTCCCAGTGAGAAGAAAAGAAAACTAGAAATGGTAAGAGGACACAAGCAGCAGAAGAAGTTTAAGAAGACTAAAGATATAAAGCAGAAGCGGAAGAAATGACTCTAAAATGAAATCAGTGAACTTGAAATAATGAGTGACGGGTCTGTACCATTCTCCTTTCAAACCAAAAGACTTTCTTGAGGAGCAGGAGGGTAAATGCTGAAGAGAAGGAAAAGCTTATGAGGCATTTTAAAAGTGTATTAAGGGAAGTGCAGTGACACTGCCAGGAGACTGTCTGTGGAGATGTTTTATGAAGTGTGACTGCAAAGCTTGCATGAGGCACTCTGCAGAACACTGGGATATTAGGAGGGTGCCTTAGCAGCTACAGTTTCCATTCAGACTGACAGATCAATCTTTAAACTTTCCTGCTTCTTAATGGTTGATGTCTATTAAAAAAAGTTTGGATAACAAAGCATAGAAATGCATTATCCTTTGGTACGTGACTGCGTTGTAGCATTGCTGTACAGCTGGATTTATTCAGATACTGGTTCAGTAGTAAAACTGTTCTTTTATAGCTGTGGGGAGATGCCAGTGTGGGGGACACACTTTTCATTTTGGGGCTGGCTACTCTGAGCCCTAACCCCATTGTCAGTGAGGTGGTCCCTGCTCAAAAAGTTTCATAATACTTCTGTTTTGGAACACTGTGTTTAGTTTCTATGTACTGTGCTCCTCAAACAGCTGTAATAAAAGGCTCTTCTACATTCACACTTGCTTAGAAGGTCTCAGCATTCCCATTGCTCAATAATCTACATTTCCTAGTTTTTAAACAGGATAGAATGATTAATAGTTGCTGGAAAAGTGTCTTTGACTATTGTCTGTCTTGCTGTCTGCTCACCAAGTCATGCTACTTAGCTTTTTTTGAAAGTTTTCTGTGAGGGTTGCTAGGAAGTCAGCACTATCCAACCAACACCTGATCCTAGTGATCTTTTCAGGGGGCAGGTAAGCTCCAGCTGTGCTACCAGCTTGGCAATAAAGGAGCACCAGTCTGCAATTCTTGTGACTGCAGACTCCAGAGGTTTCAGAACCAGGGCTGACTTCTGATACAGAACTCTCCCTGTTCTGAACCTTACTACCCTGGTGCATTTTCTTGATGTGCTAGCATAAGGATTTAGAAAAGACAGACTTACCTACAGGCAACATGTAAGTGCATTCTATTTGTTTGTAGATCTCAGAGCATCTCTTTCCAGTAAATCCTTGAAGAAGAAAGTTCTTCCTAGTTAACACAGTATTTGTTTTCTAGGATGACGTTTTATAAAAGATGTAAATTAAATATAGGCCTTGTACAACACAGCCTGTGTATACCTTTGGTTAATAGACTACTTTATGAGAATCAGCAGCAACAGCACATCACCCACACTGGGGGACAGCTGAGTCCTGAGATCTGCAGCTGCAGCTCTTAAAGGCTTAATGAGGAGCCTGATTATCAGCCAGCTGTGTCCAAGTGGCTGCAGCACCTGGCAGCAATTAGTGGTGGTTGCCTGCCTTGAAAGGGCTCTGAAGAAGTTAGGAAAGGAGCAGAGAGGAAGTGTGAGGCTCTTGGTCTTTGGAAAGTCTTCAGGAAGAAAAGGTGAGTGTGAATTGTTTGTTTTTAAATCCCCTAACTGCTGTTAGCAGTGGGATAATGTTGGTATGTCTACTTCCTATGCTCTGCTTTGAGAGGAGCAGCAGTGGTTTGACAGGCTGTGAGAGAAGGCTTTTAATGCTTGTAGAGCCCCTTCAAAGCACATTGAAGCTCAGTATTGATACAGTGCTAGCAGTTTAATTGGATTCTGTGTGGATTATGAGTTTGTTATGCAGGTTGTAGTGTTTTGCTTGCTCTAGGTATAGATGATGGTATGGGAACACTTTCTTCTTATTGTGTGTTAAGCTTTTGTGGTAAGAAAATATTAATTTCTTAAAACATAAAAGTGGTGTAAATTACAGTGTACATCTTGTGAGTACTGCTAAACTCTGGTTCTACTTAAAGATTAAAAATGAAGGTTTAAGGGAGCTTTTATTACAGTTATCTACGTGTTGTTAAGGTTCAGGACTTGTTTGACTGTCCTTGTGAAGCTGTTCTGATGCCTGAAGCCAGAGAGAGGCAATGGTTGTTTCAGGAAATATGGTCTCATGCTGGTAGGCTGTAAATGCCTTAGAAACTTGGCTGTCTGTTTTACTGGCACCATCTTAAGGAAAGTACGTTTGCTTATTGATGCAGGAGCCAGACTGGCAGTGAGGCAAAACAAGCAATGCACAGCGTGCTCTTTGAGCCTGAGTCCAGGGATGCTCAGAGATGCTGGGATGGAGGTGTGGGATGCTTTCTGAAATAGAGGTGAGGATGTAAGAAAGGTGGTCCTGTCATGTCTCCTTGTATGTTTTCTTTCCCCTCCCTTACAAGCCAAATTTTGCCAATCTTTACTACTGAATACTGTGAAATAAAATAGGAAACTGGCGTGTTCCCCCAGTAGCTAGGAGGTGATCAGTGAACATATTAATGTAGTCTGGCAAAACTTCTTGTGAATTGTAAGTCAAAGTAGAAGGTAGTAGGCAAAATTAAAATGGATTCTTCAAACAAATAAGGATGTTACTATTTGGCAGATACTGGTATTCAGCTGCTTCTCCTGCTTGCTGTCTGCTGTGGGCTGTGGTAATCTTTGCTCTGTTACCTGTGAGTTTGTCCTTTAGTTGTCAGAAACAGCTTGAGGGCTTTGAGCTTTGCTTATATTTGTACTTCTCAGTGTTATTAATGACTGTGCCCCACAATGCCACTCCCGCTATGGAGCATTGAGCAGAATTATGCTGTTTCTACAAAAATGACTTTATTCAGAGCTGAACCATTCTTTTTCAAGTTTTCCATGCATGCTTTGTGATTCCTGGCAGTTCTTTGGATTCTTCCGCCTGTCAATTGCTCTTTGAAAAGCAAAATGGAAAAAAGATCTCACATACTAAAATAAGTGAGAGAGGAGGTTTTATTATTATTATTTTTTAATTCTATTTTACCAACTCTGGTCAAACCACATTTTCCTCTGTCTGTGCTTTAGCTCAAATAAGCTGGGTTACAATCCCAGCTGGAGGAAGGGCCAGGTGAATGAGCTCTAGCAGTAGGGCATGGCTATCTGTCCTTCAGTAGCTGGGGTACATCAAGGTTTCATACAGCACGGAAGATGAGAAGGGAGTAACTTCTGTATCTCCAGATGTTAACTTCTGTTTTGTTGTTTTGGTTTTGTTTTGTTTTGCTGCAGTAATTTTTGCTCTGAGTACATGTTACTTCTGTACCAGGGTCCCCTCCAGAGGGGCTGTACATATGTGAAGAAGCCTGAGATGGGCTGTTGTTGCAGTGTGTGTATGTAGCTGAAGGCACAGCCCTCTTGGCTCTCCATATTTCCTGTGCATGGGACAGTTTCTTGCATAACTGTAACCAGAGGCAGTAGCATTTCAGGCTGTTGTAAACACGCTAGGTAAGCTTACAGCTAAGTCAGCTTACAGCTTTCAGCCTTGCTCCTGTGGTGCTGATCAAGTGCCCGGCACGTTGCTGTGTGTCAGCTCTCTCCTTCTGTGCCCACACCAGCTTGCTTGCTTGTGATGACAGTGCTGGGGCTAATTGGAAGAGAGTGGGAAAGCCACGTTTAGTGAGCAGCACCCTGTAGGTGGTGGGTAGCTGTGACCTAGTTGTCAGCAGAATCATCCTGCTCACTGGAGCCCGTGAGCTGTTCTGACAGCTGGAAGGAGCTGACCTCTGTGAGGTATCTGGGAAGAAGTGAAAGCAGTGAAGCTGAGGACCTTCCCTGCTGCTGGGAGCTGGCTCTGCGTTTTGGGTGGGAGGTGAGCTCCCATAGCTGTGGTACAGCTCCAGTGAGTGGTCTGCAAGGTAGAGGTGGGTATATTGGATGTGCAAAGGCTGAAGGTACAAACTCAGGTGTACCCTCGTGACTAGCTGGCACTGGAGGCAGAGCTGAGCTGTGTGATGTTCTGTACTGCCTGTCCTGTGAGTGGTTTGTGAAGCAATGGGCTTGGAACCCGTCTGACTGAGGGTAGGAATGGTTTTGAACTGGCTGGCTTGTTTTTTAGTTAGGAGCAGTAGGAAAAGAGTGCTGGGGCTGGAAATGACTCTAGTTCTGATAACAGGCCAACCCGTAGTGCTGTAGTAAGGCCTTTTTCCCTGCTTTGCTGTGACTTTCATTGTACAACAATAGTTTTTTTTTTTTTTTTTTTTTTTCCTTCTGCCTGGGCAAATAGTACTGAGAGCAGTATTCTGTATTGTTTGCTGTGCATCAGTGGATCTCTTTTACTCAAAACCTCTTGGGGGAGCCAAATCTACCTTTTGCATCCTCTTTCTCTGTCACGAGCAGTGGAGGCAGCTGCTTACAGCCCCACTTCCTCGAAGGAGTTGCCACTCTTGTGTTCTCCTATGTCTGTTACAGCACGTGCAGGACACAGTATCTGGTCGCTTGTGCAGTGTTTGGGGAGGGCCAGTTGGTAGCAGTGCTACGTTTACTGGAGTTTGTCTGCGCTGTAAGGGCTTATCATAAAGCAGTAAGGGTTTATTTGACTCTCAAAGGCAGAGTGTGTTCAGGCAGGTGTATGAGTGCTGTTTCCTCTGCTCCATGAAATCGTACAACTATGACCAGCAAAGTTTTGTGCCAACTTCGCTACGCGTTCTAGGACTACAAGGGCAGTACTGCATAAAATAGAGGTGCAGCTAGTTAGATGAAAAAATTCTATTTAATCTACTTTCTAGAGCAGAAGTGCTCCAGAGGGAATCTTAGATCTTTGTATTCCATGACTCTTGAAAGCAAGTCAGGATTTGCACTAGTTGGTTTCCAAGCATGCTGGTTTAAGGGCACAGTACAACAGAAAGCATCCCTCATGCATCGTTCCCAGCAGAATTCTTTTAGATCACATCAACAAATGCTTGTGGTGCTCATTTATTGTAGAACTGGATTTCAGGTCTTGCTGCAGCAGAGAGGTGTGCGGCACAGCACCCTTTGTTCAGGTGTGTGGTGGGAAATTGAAGGAAAGAAGCAAGCATTAATAGGTTCTCAGCAGCTGAACACACATTCTGGTTGTATTAATGGCTTCTTCTGAAGTCCTTAGAACCGGTGTTCTAAGAAGTAAAGTATTTGAGTCCTCCTGCAGGGTTACACTGAATCCAGCATTACAGTTGAGGCATTATCCAAACACCATAGGGGTCTGAAAGATTTATGGGGCAGACTTAGAGGGGGAAAGAAATCGTTATTTCTGGGTCAAATTCTTGCTGTCAGCAGAAAGAAACCTCTGTGTGTCTGACTTCACAGATGAGTAAGTGCCCTTGCTCTTTGCAGCCTGGTTATAGCAAGCCACCATTTCTGATAAATACAATAAGAGGAAGAGACTGAATGAGTCTAGCAGCTTTCTATTCAGGTATTCCATTTTTTGTCATTGCTTAAATCTCTGGCTTTATCATCTGATGGTCAGGGATAAAACCCATGCAGCTATGGCTGCCTCCTTAACCTCTGTCTCTGGGGTTGGCTGTGTGTGGGTAATGCTCATGGGCAAAGTTCAGCAGGGCTCCCTGTGCTGTTGCTCACCTGACTACCGGTGGTTGCCAGTGTGATCTTCAAACACAGGACTACTAGTCTTGCAACTACCAGAGCAAAGCTTCAGCCACCCAGACCTGTCAGAGCCAGCCCAGCCTTCTAGGTGCCAGGGCCATGACAGAAGTGCTTTCTGCTCTGTCACCTCTTCTTTGTTACTATTAGAGTGGAGTGGGTTTGACCTTTAATTCCTGAGGTCTGCCTGATACACAACGGAAAAGAATCCCAGAACTAGGATTTTTCTTTCACATCTGCTTCTTTTCAATGAAGGGTGCCTAGGTAAACTTCACTTGAGCTAGGAAAAATGCAAGTTTCATTTATTATGCAAAAAAAAAAAAAGTGTGAACACGGGACAGGGAAATGAATGCCTTTTTATCCCTTGCTTTGAAGCATCAAATTAGGTACATATACCGAAACGATGCAAGGTGGTGAAACTGCAACTACCTTTTCCACAGAAGATTTTAAATATGCCTTTGTCATTGTTAGAGAAGCAGAATAAATAACAGCAGCTGTGTATTTTAAAATTACGTTGTTAATAAAATCCCGGTACATTTACATAAATGACAACGTTAATGTACAATTAACAAAGCATTGTAATATTACAGCAATAAAAGAGGACCTACATTTTTGTACAAATAGCTGGAGCAGCTGCTTGAAAATACCTTCCAAGATAGAGCCTTTTGTGGTGGTTTTCTGGCAGAACAGTAATAATTTTGTATCATCTCTATGGCTTTCTGATAATAAATAGAGTCACTGAAGCTGGTGATCTTCAAAAGTGGATGTGTACACAAATTTGTGTGTGTGCTCTGACCAACGTGTCTGTCAGATGACTGATCCTAGGCTGATTGTTCTCCTTGCATGCAGTGTGCCTGTGATGCAAACCCTTCAGAAAGGAAGGTATGGCAGGTTTTGGCAATTTTGTTGAAGGGTGCTGTAATTCATTCTCCTTTCCTTCTCTATTTAAACCATGTCTATATCTTGCACTGGAGCTTATGCTCAGCTAAGCCTACCTCTACCAGTGTGCTTAGTTACAATATTATTTGTTGGATTTTTTAAGTGGCAGTTTCCCACCTAAACTATTGCTTTTCCTTCTCCTTCATCCATCTGTAGCCAGTGAGCACATCTTAGCATATGCTTTTGGACGTTGCTTACATAGTTCAGGGGAACAGCTGAAGGTTGGTGAGAGCAAGGTGTGCAGCTATGTATGAGTAACCAGCTTCTTAAGCTTGGGCTTATTTAAAAAGGGAAAGGTAAGTGGCCTCAGACACAAAACTGTATCTTGAGCTGTTTCCTGACTGAAGTCAGCTAGGAGAATGTCTAGCACAAGTCCTTTCTATATAGAAACATCCATCTACTGCAAGCAAGGAAAAACGTGAATCTTGAGTATTTCAGTTGAGGCATCTTGTGTAAGTGCTGCAGCCCAAATGTCAGAGTGCAGCCTACCTCGAGGCAGCAGTCAGCAGCGTGCTGTGCACGGTCTTCCCTGAGGTAGTGGAAACATCACCCCATGGATGAGGATGTGGAGGCAAAGACTTGATTTCAGAGCTTGTACCCCCAGCTTCTCTCCAGAGAGAAAACAAAGCATCAAGCTGTACGTTTCTCATGGTCTTACGGAGATTTTTATTGCTTGTTTATGCTATCAGACAGTTTTTCAGCTTAGCGATAGCTGCTTCTATGCCTGAGTCTTTTAGAAAGTCTCTCTTATGATGTCAGATCTCACAGATAATGTTCGCAAATGTGTTTTTAAGTTAAAAGTGAATTGGGCTATCAAACCTCTGTAGTGAAAGGGTAGACAGTACTTTTTCCTCTCAAATTGGATCCAGATTAAACAATTAGCACAGTGAAACTGTATTTTAAAAAAGTTTTCTTCCCTCCCTGCCCCAGCTCAGTTCTTCATATTATGTGTGAAGAGCGAGTAATTCCAGAGTTAGTAGCTCCTACTCAGCCTCGTACATCTACACAATTTCTCCCTCAAGGTGCAAACAGTTCAGGGGAAAACTTACGCTGGAGTCTCTTGCCGTGTGTGGAAACTGGTGCTTGTTAACTGCAGTGAAGAGGTCTGCATACATCAGCTTGTGTGTTCAGACTGATGACTTGTTGAATGGGCAGTGGTCCACACGATTAGAAAACTCCTTCTATGCAGCCTTTTTACAAGTAAAATATCTACGCATATGAACTAGGTGGCCATTATGGTGTGTAGACGGACACTTAAGACTAGATATGAGGTGTTAGATCTAGGTAAGTTGCCTCACTTCTCTGCAGGCCCACATTGTACGTTGTTTGGATGGCAGTATTGATCTCTTCGGTTGGGGTTCTTTGCTTGCCTGCCCAGCTCTTGATCACACTGTTCACACAGCGTAGCTCTGACAGTAGTAGCACAGAGAAGCCAGCTCCCCTCCTTCAGTGGGATGAGGCACACCCCCCCTTGCTGATGGGGTATCTGATACAGGGGGACTTCCAGCGAGAACTGATGACTCCAGAAGGCAGACAGGAAAGCCTCAGCTCTGCATGAAGCCGTGTCCCCGTGCGTTTTGAACCAGTGCTTCTGCCACTGCCTTGTTCCTGCTTCACACCCTTGAGGTGACATACACAGAATGCAGGCGGCCAGCCAGGGCTGTCTGCAAGTCCCGCAGAGGGTCCAAGCCTTGCACTTTGCTGTTCCTGCCGTAGATCAGCTGTCTGAATGAGTCCTGCTCTAGAAGAGAGCTCATGTGTTTAAGGAAGAAGCCTTCACAAAAAGCCGCTAGTTCAGGTGCGTTGTGTATCTGCAGAAGAGTACAGTCAGTTAGCTCTTTTGCTATGCCACAGACCTATGGACGTGCCTGGGCCTAATTTCATTTCCAGTGTTTTCTGAGATTAAAAAAAAAACAACAGTAATGACTATGGAAAAGAACTCTGGTAGGACCAGTGATGACTGGTGATTTCTATTGATGCTTTTTGCAGGCACAGGTGTGAGCAGAGAGGCATTTAAGCTTTTTTTAATTTCTTCCTCTGGTGGGCTGCTGCTGGCAGAGCCATGGGGCCTGCAGGCCAGTTGCTTCCTCTTAAAGGAAGAGAGCAGCTGGCTGATGAAGTGGCCAAGGTACCTGTTCTGCTGTGCAGGCAGGGAGTGGTGCCACAACATAAAGTAATGCATTGCCAGATGGTGTGTACAACTCATAGCAATAGGAAATATGTTTCTGCTAGAGAATGGAGGTGAATGTAGGAAAACAGGGATTTTGCATTTCTGAAACATGGTGGGGGGCAGTCTGGCTGTGATCCAGTTCCCTTTCCTTCAGAACTGCTCTGGGCAGCTAGGTAACGGAAGAAAAATGAAGTGTTCAGTACTTAGAAGCACTGTATGCATACACTAGGGTCCTGGGAGTTTTGTGCAAATAGTTATTTAATGAAAAGTACTGAAGGCAAAGGAAGAATGATCCTTTCCACCTCTACTGTTGCATAAGGTTATTGGACCAGCCTGAGTTCCACAGGATTTAAAAAAAAAAAAAAAAAAAAAAAAAAAGCCCAGTCTGATAGCCAGGCAGCAAAAAAAATCAGTGCACCACTATGGGCAAAGTGAGGGTGCACGTCTGCCCCTAATACTTCTGCTTGTCTTTTAAGGGATCTGATGCTGTGTCTGATAAACTTCTGGGAATGGCAGGCTGTTTTCTCAATGATTTTATTGATAACAGTTGTTGGGTTGTTTGATATAAAGGTTTCTGCTAGTTCTGTAGCTATACAAAAGATATTTCAGCAAGAGTGTAGGGAAAGGGTTTGCTGCTTAATTGCTGTACTGTATGATCAAGTGCCTCTGCTGCTGTAAGGATGTGAATCTCTCGGGCTTTGCTGGATGATGTTGCTGTTTCAGCGCCCCCAGTCACCTCTACACAGCTCTATAGGGATCTCTCATCGATTTCATACATGATTGCTTTGGATGGAAAAACATACTAGTGTTGTGTAGGACTTTACAGGCTGAAACATAACACATCATCTCACTTGCGGTTGTGGCTGGGGCAGTTACCAGCATACCTGTTCTACGCTCATTATATTTACTCACTGAGATGAGACTCATTGTGATTCCTAAATAAGGCAGTTTGGTGCATACCTTTGCATATTTATAGATGCTAACAGAGTTTTCCATGCTGATCGTCTGGGCACAGAGGATTTCACAGTGTCTCTGGAGGCCGTCCAGTTGAAACAGGCTGGCAGCTGACAACAGCTATTAGGAGGAGAGAAGCTCGTGAGCCTTGAAAGAGCTAGGGAACGTGGACAGATAGAACTGACGATCTCTTCTCTGAACAGTATGAGACTACTTCGTTTAACAGCTCAGTCCTCACGACGGAGCAGGAAGGCCACTAGTAGAGGCTTGCTTCTCCTGCATCTGTGCTGCCTTTTGTCACTATGACAGACAATTCTTAGGCTGCTGAACAGCCCCTTTTCTCAAAAGAAAGCAGAACAGCTGTGTGTAGTCTTTAGCAGCAAACTTCAATCTCAGCAGACCGCTTGTGACTAAACAGCATTATTGTAAGAGGACTTGTTTGTAACAGGGAAGTGCTCTTAGTCTGACTTTTGCTGAATTGTAACTAGTGCTGCAGAAGTTCAGCTTGTTTCAGTTGTTTCTTTGTGATTTTTAAGCCCCTTGCTGTTTGGCTGCTGTGGAATCAGCTACACCGTCTCTGAAGTCTTACTTCTCCCAGCTTCATAGAGGAAGCTTTCACACAGCTTTAGTACCAAAAACACTGCAGTGGTGTATTGTTGTTTTTTTTTTTTCCCCTTGTATCTCATGGACATAATATCAAATAATTGCTAATTCTCATTTCCAAGCAACTGCATTGCAACTTTGAAATTCTCTACTCTTGGATTGCAAGCTTGCTGTTAGCTCCTAGTTTTTGACTTTCAAACCCTGTTTATGCTCCAGTGCACTTAGCAAGATTAGAAGAAAATACTCTCACCTCTAAGATATCAGTGGTGGGAATTTCCATGGATTCTGTTCCTCCATAGTATAAGTACTGCATCAGCATCTGGAATGGGAAGAAGGCCAGCCATGAAGCTGTTATCACTGAAGTCACAGGGGGCAGTGAATGACTGCACTTCCCTTCCTGAGCAGACAAGGATCACATAATATGCTGGCTCCCATCTCCACTTGGCTTTTTTTTTTTCTCTTGTTGCGAGTTTGCTGCTTTCTAATATTTATTTCTTCTTGGGCTTTGAAGAGGGCCGTGCTGAAGATTCTAAGCTGAGAGAGTGACCAGTGTGTCTCTGATACGAATATCCTTGTAAAAACATTCTTGTTTGGTAAAGCCCCACAGGCTGGTCACACACAGCTGCCAGCTAGCTGGAGCACTGAGTCTGCCATGCCATGAGCATGTGTGTTGCGGGGACCCCCCAGCCTCTTGCCTTTCCTGCTGTGCTTCTAATCAGCTTCCAGCCTCCCCCCGCCGCCATTGGGGCAGGAGGAAAAAGCCTAATTGTTTGCAGCAATGGCAGTTGAGTCTCTTTGATCTCCATGTGTGCACCCCAGCTAAACCAGGATTGCCATATCTAGGGAACAGCTCAGTTTGGTATTGGAAAGGGAAGTCACTCCGCTGTTCTTATACTGTGGAAGCAGGTATGGATGCATGCTGTGCTTACCACTTCTAACAGTAGTGGTAACAAAATTAAGCTTGTACTTGTAAAGTTTTCCTATTTGAGAAAGCACAGGGAAGGCAAGCTGCTTTCCAGCAGAGCCTCAAGCAGAACCTAGAGCTCCAGTGATTCAGTTTGCTGCCCCATCCTCTGAATGCTGTAACTGAGATTACTGTAGAATGTCAGAATTTCTTTAACTAGCCTGATTTTGTTTACCATCAAATCATCTAGTTCCAGGAAGTATTGCCACTGTTTTACTTTTTAATTAGTTGCATTCTTCAGTGAAGCAAAAGTTTATCTTCTGAAACCTTTTGATGTAAAAAATTTTGCTAGGGAGGTTTAATTCCACTTGATTCTATTTTACTTTTTGTCGCTTCCTGAGTTGCATAGTTTGGTGTTGGATGGATGACATCCAAACTTACATAGCCCCTTTCAAGTAGGACCAAGATGTTCCAACAGGCAATTTCCATTCTCTCAATGTGAAGTTTGATGGCAGCTTTGTATGCATCATAGAAAGAGCCCCAGCACTGTAGTGAAGCAATTACACAACCCATTCTGGACTTTAGATTTTTGTTCTGTACCTTTCTTTGAAATTTGAGGTGCAGACCTGGAAAGCTGGAATAACTAACTGGCACACTTCACTGCTTTTGTCCTTGGGTATGTGCTAAGTAACCAACTTCATCTACATCACAAATTTTAGGCCCATTAATCCAGAGATGTCATAAAAATGAAGTGAAATTCTCGATTGTGAGCCTGTCTTGAAAACAATGTCACTAATTTCTGATAATGTGATTTGAATTCATTTTGAAGCCTGCAATAGTAGTCTGTGTAATCAGGGTAGTCTGCCTGCAAGTAAGCTTACCTTCTGGTTAACAGAAACTGAGATCTGCCTGGAAGCCTTTTAGAAGTATGTTAAGTATAAGACTGTTTCACCTACCTTATGGAAGAAACAACTGTCTAGCAAGATTATAAACAAATAAGCTGTAAGTTTTTGTTTGAATTTGGTCCTAGTGAAAGGCTAGAGCCAGACTTCAGATTCATGGAATAGAGGTTGAATTTAAGCTCATATCTAGTTGTAGATTATCAGCAATATTAAGTCTCAGCCCTCGCAGCCTCAAAGTAATTGAGAAGATGATGAGTAGAGAAAAGGTGGATTATGCAACATACCTTGAAAATATTGTATTTCATATCGCTAATTTCAACAGTCTTGCTTCCATGGCTGTCGTGTTCCGTTTTATTGGTCATTAGAGTCTTAAACCTGAGAATAATTTTAATAGATTTCTGTATTATTACTTCACACACTCATTGCCTGTTGGCAAAGAGTCTAAGCAAGGTGAAAGATCTTCCTTTGTTACCATTTTTAAGTTGACAACCAAAACATTCCTTTTAATCCTAAGATAATAGCTTTGGAACTTCAGGGGCAAATTAACAGGTAAATTGCATGAGATTCATTCAAACTCACATCGTAATAGTTGAAAACACTTATTTTGCCAGTGAGAGAGAGATACATGTGTACCAGCCACAGGTGAAGTGTGGAACAATTGTGCCTCTAGATAGCAAACCGAGAGGGGGAATGAAAAAGGCATGGAATGCCTTGGTCTGTGCACTCCCAACTACTGCACAGGTTTCTAGGGGTTATTACTGATCAGTTCATGTCAGTGCAGCCCAGGATTTCTTTAACATGTACTAAGAATGACTAGGAACAATTGAATGGCTAGAAAAAAACTCATCCTTTTGCTGTGTTCTTAACATTAGCAAAGATGATATGGACTGATCCTGCAGCTCTGAATTATGTCTGCAGACCATATCCTCAGCAGCTGCATTACTGGAGGGAGTGATGAAGAATTAGTCACAAACAATAGAGAAGGGTCAGAGCTTCCTTTTATATTATGTACAGAGCTGTAGAAAGTGACTTATTTACCTGTTAGATGCAGTAACCAGCAGGACTTTGTGTGCATAAAACAGCTTTCCTTCTACTAAGAAGGTCACATCAGACATTTCTTTATTATTTAGAAAGTGAGGATCTGTTAAAGCAAGAAAAGAAAATGAGGATGAGTTTTGGTGTGGTGTGTTTTTGTTTTTTTAAACAATATATGCTTTCAAAGAAATATTACAAAAGCTTCAGTGTTTGGGTGAGCATCTTACCGAGCCGTGCTGGCAATGTCTTGTGGATTTCAGGAATACTGGGTATAGGACTGCTGCCGTAGCAATGGGTGAAGATGGATGCAAGCTGTTGATTGATAGAATCATTCTGTGAGGAGAATAGAACAGATATCAATCAGCACTTTGCTCTGAGAGAGTTTCAAACATTCTGTAACAGTTCTCTCAAGGCAACTGCTCCTTATAAGAGCAACCTCAAAACAGAAGGACCAGCCACTTGATCTAACGGTGCACTCTGAAAGAACGCTCTCAGCAACAGTTTACAGGCCAACCCTCTGTCATGAAATAGTCATAGGTAATCTTTAAATGAGAGAAAAGAAGGAAAATGTTGCTGAACAAAAGCTTTGTTCAGAAAGCTCCTAGAAGATACTGCTGAAGTAGCCTGAATTGCCCAGTAGTGTAATGATAAGGCTTCCTGTTACATTTGCACAGTTTCAAAATCCAGTTGCTGAACTGAACTTTTAACAGAATAGCTTTCACTGATAAAGAAATGAATATCAGTATTGTGAGGGCTGCTTTTTTGATTCCCTATCATTGGGCTGTGTATGAATTTAGATAAATGCTATTGGGGTCATCTTCACACTGCAGTCACAGGGACTCGGTGTACGCACTCAGTTGTTTTTGATGTGCCCTGGTTTATACAGTTGCAGAAGACCTGGCTCAAACGCTTGATTTTGATGCTGTTATAAAACTAATGCTTACTTTGCTGGTTTTGAGGATATCGAACATGAGCTGAAGCCCTTCGTTAACCAGTTCCTCATTATAGTCTTCTTCCTTAATGGTGACAAATTCCCGTAAGAGGGTCTGTACAACCGAGTAGCGACACTGGTAGAAGGTTGTCCGTAGTGATTCAATCCACACGTGGAGCTTCCATGGGACTCCTGCAGCCAGGACAAAAGAAAGGTGATGAATACAGAAATAACAGTGAGTGGATACCTCTGTTAGTACGTAATAACACGGAAGCATTAGTGCTGAAGTAGATCTTTTATTTCTTTACAGCAGATACATTTTTGTCTTGTCATTAAAGGTGACTGAGCTGGGTCACTGACAGATTAAGCAACTTGTCTACAGTAGCAGAGGACTGGTAAACTGGTCCAGGACCTCCTGCTGAGTGGTAAGGACCAGAGACTTCTTGTTGTGTACTTAACTTCATCAATGGTCAGAACAGAGTAAATTTATTCTAAACTTGTTTGAATACCTGACCCTACACATAGCATGAGGTCTTTTTCTTGTTGTTGACAATAGACACTCAAATTTCAAAGCTTTTCTTTTCTGCTTTCAGATCAAATCTGTTCTTTCACCTCTAGAACAAACCCACTTTAACTCCTGATGTTACCTTTGTGTTAAAGGGGCTAGCCTTACAAACAGAGTATGTGAGGGGGAGAGATGGCCCTTGCTTTTGATTATTAGGTATAGCTGTTTCCTGGAAACTTAGGATAGATTTCCAGTTGGGATTGCAGGCATTTGTCCAAATGAAATGGGAAAAAGCTTTGTGTTCCCTGAATGTGCACAAGACTTAAAAAATAAATGAAGAAAACACCTTACCAAGTCCTCTGAGCTCCATGGTGATATCTACGTAGCCATGCTCAGCACTGTAATACATGGCCTCTTGCAGGGCTTTCGTTCTTGTTTTACATAGCTTGACTTGTCCCTCTGTGGAGCTGCCCTGGCTGGAGGTGTCACTCTCCACTCCCTCAGCCAAAATCTCCTCCAGTGAGAGGACATCTCCCTTCATTTGCTGGGGCTGGGTCAGGAGCTTGCGCAGAACATTCCTGAGGAGGAACAAGTAGTATTGCTTATTAATAAATGGAAGAGCAGCAATTCAGGCAGGACTGTTGTGATTTGGGTTTATAATTTGGGTTAGCAAATGACTTCATTCCCAAAGATAGAGTTGGGCTTTGACAGACATCTCGCAGATACAGAGCAGCATTTAAGACTCCTCCTTTCCCCCAACTGCAAGATAGAAATTGATGCCCTTATAGAAGGGACAAATTAATGCAGTATGCTCTTGTACCCTAGCAGCACCAGGACACATTTCAGAGTGCTGGAGCAAACTGATTTTTATTGCAGCCTATACTTTAGCACACTTCTAGAAGCACACTTCCTTCTGTCAGCTCTATCTATGGTAACACCTAAAGCTCTGAAGTAAGAATTACAAAGCATCTATTAGAACCCTTGCTGTTTTCCTGACTGACCAACTTTAGCACTGCTGTTTTAGTTAGCCTTGCTTTCTGTACCAGCAAATAGAAACCATAAAAAATGACAGTTCTGCCTCACTAAATCCAGGGAGAATTTTCTGGTTTGGAATTTCAGAGAGCAGTTACAAGAAAGAGGTTTTCTTATGTCCAGACAAACACTGTAGGCAGCTTGCATCATTTGGTCTCCCTGCAGACAGCTGCAGCCATCTGCAACAGACATTCTCATCCCCGGGAGTCCACGCAGCTGTGGCACCACACTGCCACTAGCTGGTGCTCTCCTTGCACCCACACGACTCCATGTGACTAGAACAGGGGAACTGCAGGCTTTCCATCACCCTGCCCTCGCAGACTGGAGAATAAGCCTTGAATTTCAGTTTGCATGGTTGGATGTCACAGCAGGTTGTGGGAGGAGGGGAACAGAGTTGGGATCAGAACAGCGTTTCTGTAGTTTTACACTGTAAATAACAGCATTAGGCTGTTCCAGCTCTGCTGTGTTTGGGCCTCATTTGAACTTGAGATGTTTTCCCTGGTGTAGCCAGATGCGTGGTGTGCCGGGAGGTGTGCTTTTGGCTCTGCTGTAACACACATCTGTGTGCCAACTAGGTAGCTGCTACTGAGCACGTTGCCATAAAGGCGTGTGGTAACGCTGCAGGAGACCCCCTGGATACCACTCAGCCCATCTCTGTGGGTGGTGTGGGCCTGTTTTAATTGGCTCGTTATGCTGACATTTTTCTGGGAATTGAAGAATTTCTGGATGAGTTTGTACATAACATCTTATTTCTAAATAACCACCCTGCAAGCAGGGTTAGGAAGCCTAGTCTAGCTTTTCAGTGTATTAATGAGCGTTCTCTTGGTCGGTCACCCAGAAACCAGTGATACATTCAATTGAATTCTGTAGCTGTCTATTTTTGCCACTTCTTAATGTGATGGGAATCTGTCTCAATATCATGAACTGCTATCTTTGCAGCTAGCCCATAGGTGGAACTTAATCTGCTAAAGGAGGTCTAGAACCAGCTCCTCTCTACCCTCTCAGTGCTGCAGAGCTACACCAGCAAATGAGAGAAAAAACAAGTGACCTTTCTGTTGCATTTTGTGCTTTTGACCAAAATATAATCCTTTTCTTTTTTTAAAGGTACTATTACTGAATAATGAAAATCTTGCATGATTTTTTTCCCCTCAAAAGGATGCAAGAGAAAGCAGCTACTGGCTTAATCAGTCAGTTCCCCCCAGCACTACCTACATCACAATTAGAATAATCAGAGAAACTAAGCAGTGCTAAAAAATGGTTAATGTCAGCATTAACACCATCTTCTGAACTGCACACCCAGGGATTTGGGCAGAAGATAAGCAATACACCTACAGTGCGTAAGCCTTAGGCAAAAAACTCTTCTGAACATGAATGGAGCTTTACCTGTGTCCGTGTGCAGCTGAGTGACTGAAACAATTCATATCTTCATGAAGTGAAGATGACATGCCATTGACTTCCAGCATACTCAGGAGGGGGTCGGCGCCCCTGCTTAGCAATAGGCTGACCAACTCATAGTTCCCTAGGAAACAATTAAGAGAAATATCATGTCTCTTTCTTTTTTGAAACGTAACTCAGGATGTTATCAGGCAAAGCGTACCAGCAGCTTTTAAGCTGCCAACTAAGGTTTTCAAAGCATCCTGTAAGCATGTGTTAGGCTTCATGACACCTCTCAGAAGAATGGAGTCGCAGAGCAGCTGAACTACACAAGCATGCACAGCTAGCTACAGGCAGAAAGAAAAGCTGTTCAGTTGGTGGGTGAGGTAACAGAGAAGGCCAGAAGGGAGTTGCTGACCATGGCTTCCATAGAGCTACCTTGCAGACAGGTATATTGGTACAGTTCACATTCACCTGGGCTCTCTTCCACACTTTTCATAAGATACAGCAGTGAGTGGTGGCACAGACCTTGCACAATGTGCATCTTTCATTGTGGCATGGGGGGGAGGAGGCTTTTTTTTTTTTTTTATGCTCTTAGTAAAACTTGGAGCAGATAAGGCAGAGATTTGTGTTTGTGAAGGCACAAAAATAAAGCAGAAGGAAATGAAAGGGGAAAAAAGGGCTAGAACTGGCATGCTGAAAAACAACTTTTAGACTAGCACAGACTTGTTTATAGAATGCTAAAATCTTTACAGAGCTAGATAGAAGAAATGCAGAATTTTACTCGTATTTAATAAATTAATAAAACAAATGTCTCGATATAGCAGTTCTTTCCTCAGGCTGAATTTAAACTTGTTAATTTTTGCATCTGGAAGTTATTTAGATCCAAGACATGCCTAGGCTAGACAGTAGCTGTTTTATGTTTCTTCACAGAGCTCCATGCAAAGGAGGAGCTGTTTCAGCTTAAGTATGGAGGCTGCTGGCAGGAGATAATAGTTGGTACTCCTGGCAGAAGTAGGCACTCATTTAGTGCCCATCAGCTGTTGCACATGATTGCTGTCAGTCACTGCCAACTCAGGCTGAGTTCACATTAGTGGTTTAGAAATGAAAAAAATGCTGACTATCTAACTCCTGGTGTTGCCCATTAAGTATCTTTGCTGTATCTGCAATACCTGCAGACCACAATGCAGAGCAAATCCTAACATATTTTACAGATCCCTGACCCAGGCATCAATTAGTTGTGCTTGTTTTGTGAGAGCAAGAGACAGAGCATGCCATGGTTGCGTGTAACTTACCTGCTGCTGAAGCCAGTTGAAGTGGGGTCTCAGCGTAGTTATCTTCTCCACTGTTAACAGCAGAGCCCTCAACGTGAGCACCAGCATCCAAGAGTAGCTGCAACAGACACATTTAAAAACAAGGAGTTGAGAAAACAGCAGTTCAGCAGTGCTAGGAAGGAAAATGAGAAGATTCATGATGAAGGGAACATCTTAAAGGCTAAAGCAAGATACCTTTGGCAGGTCAAGTTTCTCATGCGTGTCTTTGATCAGCCTAGGGCTAAAGCCTTACACAAATGTCAGAGATTTATTTTCTTTTGCTTTACTGTACTTTCAGCAGTGAACTTATGCTAAAAAAACGTTCTCAGCTGATAGACTGGAGAATATCTACTCTTTTTTTTTAATCTCTTACTATGAACTTGATTTTGCTACTTGTGATTTCCCAGCCCCAAAGAGCTCTGCAGTCAGAGTGTCTCGAGCATAGGAAGTTAATCTTATTTAGTTTCATGATGTGTGCAGGAAGCATGCTACACCTTCAGGGAATTAGCCCTGGAGGCCAAACATAGCTCTTGGTCTCTCCCAAGCCCTGTGGAGCTTGTATAAGAAGGCCCTTAGTGATTTGCCATGCACAGAAGTGGCTTTCTTTGAACACACCAAGCTACTCAAAAGGCAACTGCATGTCTTCTAGACAAAGGAGAGGTTATGCATCTCTTATGGCCAAGCAGTGCTGGCAGTCAGCAGCAGAGGGGCATCCAGAGCAGCACCACTGCAGCAACAGTGAGCGCTGTTCTCCAGCCAGCAGCAGAGGTTCTTCCTCTCAGTGTGTGTCCAGATGGCTGCAATGGGTAATGCTGTCACAATTAAGCAGTTTCAGCCATCCCTGATTAATGGTACTGGCCTGGGCACAGCATATACATTCACATTTTTATTATAAAACTAAAACTGTCCGTAGAGCATGACAACTGGCTCATTGACTGGTTTGCTGGTGAACAGTTGAGATGCCAACAATTCCAGGTAACTATCCTATGGCAGGCCTTACCTGGAACAGTGATTTCATACACAGAATCCAGAGAAAGCTCACATCTACACTTTAAAGGATGGTTGCCAAAGGAAAGATTATACAAAATCTTTAAAAGTTTTAAAGCAAGCAGACACAGTGGGTATACAGTCCAGTAGGATCTATCTGGCTACAGTTCCTGGGAGAGTCACACTTATCTCTCATGTAAATTAAGGCTGTCCAGTACCAAAGGCTGTGCTGGCAATTTGCCAGGTGGGATCTAGTCTTTGTAATTATTTACAAATGTACACAGAATATGACTGTATGCAACCTCCATTTACTTACGTCTTTTTTTTTTTTCCCCCTTTGAGCAGAAGGTAAATTAAATTCAGCAGTTACTGTCTTGTTTTGGTATTGGTTTTGAGTTCCCCTTGAAGTTTGAGCAGAATTTCCAGGATTCTGATCTATTCTGCTGCCTCTGGCATTCATTCCATGGAAGAGGGAGCAGGGCGGGTGAATGCTTAAGCACTTCAGTCCCTCAGTATCTTGGGCAAAGATTCCTGACTAAAGACTTTCTTCTGCTTACCTGAACAACGGATATATGCCCATGTAACACAGCAAAGGTGAGAGCAGTCCAGTGCCGGCTGTCAGGATGGACTGAAGGGTATCGTGGAGAGGTACTGGGAACCTGGGCAAGGAAACCAGGTAGTTATTAATCACTGCAGCATCTGTCTTCCATAATCTTTAGACTTCTATATAACTGGCTTTCCCTTTGTAAGTGATGGCCCCAGGGAACGGTAACAAATACACTGCCAGCACTACTCGCTGTCCGGTCCTCTGGGCCTTTTTAATCGGCTTGTTGGTTTCTCCTGGCAGCAGCCCTTTAAGGAAGGAGGCCCCTTCACCTCCACCATGCCTATTAGACTTGCCAGTGAGCACTCCAAGAAGTCCTGAAGGTATTTTCCCCTCTCCCAAACTTATGAAGCGGTGACTTCTGAAAGAAGTGCCTTGCCCTGAGATTGGGGCAGAACCTTCCAGAAACAAAGACTTCAGTTGATAGGAGAAATTTGATAGTGGTTTAATAACTGCTGTTGTTAATTTACAGACTAAGGATGAACGATGGGTACTCCATTACTTACTGGTATATCTAAATTTGCTCCAGCATCTATAAGCATTTGGACCATTGCTTCATCTCCAGCAGCACAGGCATACATCAGCGGGGTCATACCCTTTAAGGGAAGAAAAAAAAAAAAAAAAGAGTTACCTTTCTACAGCAATAGCAGATCTGTCACAGAGACAGAGTTTGAATCTCAGGTACAGAGTGTGAGTGTGTGTGCATATGTTGAAAACATTTTGGTTTCAGTGTAGGGCTGGCTCAATGTGCAAATATGGGAAGGCGCTGTGGTCAAAAGTTAGAGGTCAAGACTGCTACAATTATTGAGCTTCATAGGCTGCAAAAAAGAAATAGCATTTTTTTCTGTATCATTTCTAGCCAGATGAACTGAAAGCAGTACACAGGAGTCTACTTGGCAACATATTCCTATTGCTAAAATGTTACTTGCCACAGTATTTCAGCATTTCAGTCCCATAAGTCTGTCTCTGTTTAACCAACAAACTGTGATGGCTCAGAAGTGAATTGAGAGAAATGAGCCTTACTTAGACAGTTAACTCCAGAAGTAGCTAAGGACAGAAAGGAAAATGGGCCAGTCAAATCTATTTCTGCTCATATCCTGTAGTATTTTGTCCCCTTTTAATTACTTTGGATGTTTAACTCTTTCATAGGTACTATTTCTGCTGTTCATTGTGTAGTAATACAGGTTCATCTTTAGATAGCTTTATCAAAATAGAAGCAAATCCCAAGTAGAGGAGTTCTGGTTTTGAATCTGCAAAAATCTTTTCAGAACAGACACAATTCCAGTCTTCCTACACATAAGGAAGCTATACCATTTGCAAAGATGTTCAGGGGTGAGGGGCAGAGTAGGGTTAGCTTACTGGGGCTTTGCAAGGGAGACCAATTCTTTAATACAGACAAGTAAACTTCACTGAGAATTCAAAAATGAGCTCATATTTATTGCCACACAGTCAGGGTTCTAAAACTACCAGGTTTCTATAGAAATACATACATACTTATTTCCCCAACTCAGTTTTGCATTCCCTGCTTGCTGCTCAGTATTCATGGGGAAGAAGAGATTCTGGTTAAAAACATGGGAAGAGTACTCTGCAAACACAGCAGAGCTGCCAGCACTGTCTGGTCCCCTTGTTCACAGGGGGACTGGCTAGAGGAAGACATCAACAGGATTACAACAAGATCATAAATAAGTGACAGCAGTAAGTCCTCAACCTTTCCAAAGTTGCCCACAAAGCAGGGTCCTTACATAGGAAAAAAAAGCAAAACTTCTCCCAGTTTGCTGGTTGGCTGCAAAGGAGTGCCATGATATTACAGTACTTGTTCACAGGGCAAAATATCGGAGAACAGAGCAGTTCTGCTTTGGAAGAACAAAAGTCCCGAGGGCTACGTGAACAGAAATTACAAAAACTTAAGAAAAAAAATCAAGGAAGTAAATGGCAGATTTTCATAATATAAATCTGCCACCAGTGTCACTTTAACAAAGTCAATGTCAGGGGCATCTGTGAAATGATACATGTCTGTGACCACAAAACTTATATGGGATATGTAAATAAGGTGTAGTTAAATGTAGCCTTCTGCAGGAACAGTTCTGCCCATGTTTGTATGCATTTTCATATACCTTTTAAATTGCAGAAAGTACCATGGAAGACTCACTCATTTCACAAATGGGTCTGAAAACCTCTTTACTTGAATGTAAATCCTTCTTACTGATATTGTTTAAACATGACAGGTCTTTCTCATTGCTGTGACATCTGTAATGAATGTTTATTTGTGGGAGGTGGATGGTTGTTTAATTTTTTTTTTTTTAATTAGAAGGTAAATCAGTGCATTGAATGATGCCCCAGAGAGCAGACTGACTTGATAGAATTGACAGCACAAACAGATAGGGACTTATTACTCCGCGCAGTCTTTATGCTTAAATGCAGATGAGCAGGGATAGGTAAAAATAAAGCATGAGAGCTTTTAGCAAAGCTAATACTGACTGATACCAGTGCCACTGGGATTCTCTGTGCTGTTTCATCTACCACAATGCACTGAGAACAGATAGTCCACTTCAAACAGGCAACCTGAGAGCCATGACACAGCAACACCTTTTGGTCGCTCATCACTCACCCAGATGGGATTTTGGCTGTTAAACGAGAGAAGATTGGCATTGGCAAAATTAACTTTGTTTTGACATTGTCTTAATATTAAGGTAACATCAGACTTTGCATTTGCTGCCAGCATGTTAACCTGTCTTCAGTCAGTGCCTGAGACAGACCATGCAAGGAGCAGACCTGCATTCCAGCTCATAAAGAAACAATTCACTCAAGGCTCTGACTGACTTGTGAGGGTTGCATGAGTGAGGGATTTCTATTCTAGGTGATGTTTTAGAAAAAAAGAATAAGAGAAGTTCTGGAGAGGCAATTAATGCTTAAGACCTACAAAGAAAGGAACACACAACTCAATGCTAAAATTTTGTGTGTGTATAAGCATACATAAGGCATACCTGATCGTCCATGGTGTTAACTCCATCAGCTCCCAGTGCATCTATTGCTTGATTGATCAGATCTGTCCTTCCGCAGTTCAGCATTCGGAAACCCAGATCCTGCTGGAATTTTTCAGTAGCAGCCTTAGCATCCAGTCTCCGGAAGGAACTAAAACAGCATTCAGGTCTGTGGAGGACAAAACAATTTATGGATTTTTTTCTTTTCTTTTTTTTTTTTTTTTTTTTTTAAAGCCTGATTTATGTAGGAGATGATGTTTATGAAATGTCATGGCTTTACCTACTGCATACCTTCTCCAGCACACAATCATTTCTGAAGAAATCTGGTTAAACTTCAATCATACTGGAGATAGAAGTTTTAGTTGTTAGGGACAAACAATAAATTCGTATGTATATTACAGGAAAAAATGGTGCCAGGTAGAAGAATGTCATTGGTGCTTTCTGTGTGAAGGGTAGAAAGGAATCCTTACTCCCTGTCACTCAGCCTCACACTTCAAGGGCACCTCTGGACCAGGCTACTGCAGCAGTGAGGTTACTGTGGCAGGAGAAGGCTCACAGGGTACAAACCTGCAGCAACTGAGTTATCATTTATTCTCCTGCTTACTGGAAAAAAAAAAAAAAAACAACCATGCTTTAAGTAGTTAGCTCTGCATTTTTCGTGAGATGCTATCACATAATATGATGTGGCTGTCATAGGAGAATGCATCCTACATAGACAAAAACATGTTCCAAAGAAGAAAGAAGAAAAGAAGAAAAAAAAAATAAATCAAATTTCAAAAAAAGCCCCGAAAAACCAAAAAAATTCAAGTCTCAACTCTTCTCCAGTGCCTCAAAGGAAATGAGGTAACGTTCCTGTGAGGCTCTATTAACTGCTTATCCTCCAGATGACTATCAGATAGCCTTTATCTCATTTGGAAGTAGTCCAGAAATTACTGTAAATCCCCCTGATTGTGCTGAGAGCTCTGAGTTCCAGAGCTGGAGGCCTATCTCCTTCACTGACCAAACATTCCCAAATTGGAGGTGAGCACTGATATGCTCAGCCCTTTGATGCTATTTCAGGCTGAGTGCCTTCTCTACTAGCTGCCTGGTTTCAGCACAAGCTCTTGTGCAAACTGTCGGTGAGCGAGATAGTAGTTTGCCAAGTTCCTTTGAAAAGCGAGATTCTTTCAAGGAGGCTAACCTGGAAACTCTGTAAGTAGGCAGCCAGATAAGTAAAACACTCATCACTTAGACTCAGGATGAATCGTACTCAAGTATTAATTCAGCTGGACATTTTGGATGTTTCTGAACTGCATCAGTGTTGAAGACAAATGGGGCTCAGCTGCAATGAAAAATATGCTGAGTTCACAAAACTCACTCCTCAGCCTGGTGAGCAGTCCCATTGCTTGTGGGAAAGCAGCATCACTGCAGCTGCATCAGGATGAAATATGAGGAGCAGTCAGCAGGGAAGCAGAGTGACAGCCTTGGAGTCACCCGCTCTTTGGAGATACATCCATAAATAAAATGCAGCTCCCAGGCAATGAGTGCAGATATCTGATCAGAAGAGATCTTCCAAGCATCCAGATCCTGGGTTAGGACATGTGCAGTACAGAGCACAGGATGACAGTAAGGTAAGGCTTACTGTTAGACATATGTGAATCCTAAACAGAGCTTAAGCAATAAATCATCTTGCTCTAGTAAGGAAATTGGCACAGTGTCACAATGCAATAACATTATTATATAGTAATGGTATCATATTCTATATATATTCACTATTATTATCCTATGCAAACCAGTGAAATAGAGCATTATAAACTTGAAAGCTGTTGAACCTCAGAGAATAAATGACATTTACTAAAGTACAGGTATCTACCTTTGCACTCTGATTCCATTTTGCTAACAGGCACGATGCACCCTGTGCAGCTGGAGCAAGGGGAGGGTGATGGGAGCACCATGCACTGCTGAGCCCTGCAGTGCAAAGAGCAAAGCAGAGCATTGTGCAGAGCTGTCCGAGGGACAGAGCAAAGAGGTGGGCTGCAGTTCTTGGCGTAGAGCTGCCGGGAGCACATCTGGAGGCAACGATCTGAAGTTACTATTTATGGGCTTTGCTCCTGGGGGACCTGCAAGCTTAGCCCATGCAAAACTTCCCAACAGAAAAATGGTATACACACGCCAGTCTAGTAATTGCTTGACAGCATGCGCTTCTATGATAGAGGCAAAGCAGCTTTTTCTTTCAGAGTGTGATAAAAGCTACAGCATCCTCCATGAGCCAGGGAAAGAGCTCGCACACACACAACTGCTGTGCAGCAGCTGTACCCACAGCAGGTTTTCCATGCGTGAGTTGTTACCCTGTCAGAGAGAGTCAAACTCTCACACGCTTCCTAGGATAAAGCTTGCACCCGTGCAATGCCCAGATGGCAGCTCCTGTGTACGCTTGGCTTCCCCCCCACCTGGGGATGGACAGACCTGGGAGCACAGAAACTGTCTCTAAGTGTTTGACCTCACATCAGAAGCAAAAACAAGCACCCAAATCCCTGCCTTATTAAGATGTATGATCTATAAAGTAAGGGACTGCCTGTGTTTTGTAAAAAAAACTAGTGCAGAGATAAAGGGGGATGCCTTTGAGGTGCAAAGTTTGGATTCAGTTTTGAAAGAGAAAGCCTTTCAAAAGGAGAGATTGAAAGGAAACTTAGGAAACTGACTGAAAGCACTCATTATATCTTCCATTGGCACTGCTCAACAAAGAATTTCAAAGCTTTTGACATGCACTAGAGATATGGGCAAAATTAGCTTAGCCCATAGGAATTATTCTATGCTAGCACCTACCTGAGATACACACAAGCCTGAGAAAAGTGTGCTTCAGCAGAGCACATATACACTGGCAGAGCATGGGGAGAAGTGCTATGTGAGCAGATGCAGCACATGTAAAGCTTAAAAGGGTGCCACCTCTGAGCTTCCATAGCTATGTCCCCTTAAGGTGCAGCTATGTAGAACAGACTTAGCCTGTATAATCATAATCATATCAGGCAGAGTTAGGAAATAGCAGACATGCCACCAATAAGGTAGGTGCAATTCAATGACTGAACTCTGCTCCAGCACGCTTGCCAACTAATTTAGCTTTGCATTAGGTTTGACGGATAGTGAGGAGTATCTGTTGTTGCACAAAAAGGGAGACAGGGATATAGGAAAAAAGCAAGAGCCTTCCTGGCTGCCAGAAGGAAAAAGTAAAGAGCAACAAAAATAGATCAAAGAATCATCATTAAAAGTTTCCTGTTGCTTCTCTCATTCACAAATAAAAGAATTCTAAGAGTAATGATTATCAGAAAGGATACATATACAACACTTGATCACTTGCAGAGCATGACAGAGGTGGTATTCATTGTTATTTATGTGTCCAGCCCACTCATTTAACCCATAATCAATATGGGGGATAAAATTCATTCAAGAAAACTTGCAGTACTGTTCAGGATATAACTCTGGTATCAAAAGTAGTGCTAATGACAACAACTTTGAAAGACAGCAAACACTGAGTAAAATACCTATGATGTGCTAATGAACTGAGCTAATTATAAATCCCTGTTCAATATACGTGTGAGAGGAGGATATTAATAGGTACTTATACTTTTTGTCAGGGCATCTGAGAAAGCAAAAGATTATCTTGTAATTAAGACTGAAGCATAAATGACTGAATATTTATATTACAATCTTTCTGTCTCATTCTTCCTGTACGACTTCTGGCAAGAAAAAATCCTTCCATCCCAACTGTGGTGTCTGGCCAAAGGCTCTTTGTCTCCTCCTAAAACCTTGAGCACACGTTGCCAATATAGTATATTGAGTCCCATTCCCATGAAACAAGGAAAGCAAAGGACTGAGTCCACCTACTTGAGCTGCCTGGGCTCGCAGTCCAACCCAGGTAAGAGCAGCCTGGCTGTCTGCCTGATGTCATCACTGTCCACTGTTAAGCTCCGCCGGTGCTCGGCATAGGTGATAGCCACTCGCATCCACTCCATCAGCGGCGGCAGAAGCATGAAGGGCCTGGGCAAACAAGGAAAAAACATGCCATGGTTAACGTGGGTCTGCTGTCTTCTACTAGGACTTGGCACATTTCATCGCTTCCCCTGCCTGCTTGTGACAGGCAGACAAATAAAGTCCATCCTGCAAAGGTAGATCTGTTCTCTTGCTCGGCAAGACGACAGGTCAGCAGGTGAGAGACCATTTGTGCACAACTGACCATTTGAGACCGCTGCAGAACTGCTGCAGCTTTGCTCTTCTGTCATTTTCCCCAGCAAAACTTGCCATACTTTGGACTTGGGGATGAATGAGTGCAATCAAAGAGATAACCAACACAGAGACAACTCTGAGGAAGAAAACACATATATAACAAACAACAAACTGTAAGCAACTTGCAGAAAAAACAATTTACTTGATCCTAATTTGTACAGCACCCAGAGCAGCACACACAGAGGTTTTAGTCTGTACAAGGAATTGCAAGCCAATAAAGCAACATAAATACGGCAGTAACAACAGAGCCAAAAGCCATTTTAGGCTAGCTTATGAACAGCCTCTCCCTTACTCCAATGAATGAACACAACACTGAAATTATACAGTAATATATGGGTATCATAACACTCATACACAACATATCTCTCCTCCCAGTACACAGCCAGAGTGATCTGTTATTTGCTTGATTTTCCCCCAGGGATACCTGCCACTGTGACGCGAGGCTCAGAAGTGCCAGCTGTAATTGGAAACACCTCTCCCATTTCTAGTAATGAATTTACTCATGCTGAAAAAACAAACAAAAAAACAAAACAAAAAAAAAAACAAAAAAAAAAAACCCCAAACCCTTTGCATTTAAGCATTCAAAAGAAAATAACCGAGGGAATAAGGTATCAGTTTCTTTATAAAGTTAAAGGAAGAAAGATGCGTACCAGAAAATATGAAGTGATATTAATGAAAGCGGCTGAACCCATGAAAGGCATTTTCAAAGCAGCACACGTATATGTGTGCACACATCTGCCATCACAGTAAGAGCGAGCAGCGCCGATCCCATTAGAAATCATTTTATCAATAATGAGATTTGTAAGCAGAACTGCCTTTGGATGGCTTTGAACATCCTTCAGGCTGGAATAATTCTATCCCATCAAATATGTGCTAGCTCTTTCAATTTTACCAGTTACAAAGCACACTCTAATAAGTTGCCATTTTCTGCTTGCAAACAAGCCTGCTTATTTTCCCTCTGCTCCTTTCCTTCTCCTGAGTGGCAAAGAAATATCTACAAAATCACAGGTCTGTCTAAATATCTGATCAATCCTGGACTGCCAGTGCAAGAGTGTTCTTAATGTGACTTGCTGCTTTAACCAGTACGCTTCTACATCAATCAACTGCAACATTAGGGCTCCTACATCCTTCACTTTGAAAACCACGCAGTAGCTCACCAGCTGAGACACCTTCTTGAAGCTCAGCTTTAATTCCCCAGCCCATTTAAGCTTACTAACTCACTCCAGATCCGTGGGATGATCGCTGCAGCCAATCTGCAGCACAGCCAGCTCAGAGTTGACTGACTGCCCTGAGGCAAGAGCTGCAATCCAGACAACTCGTGTTTGGGAGATGTATTCAGCAGTTGGCTCCAGAGAACTTCTTTCTGGCCTACAACAGAGCCAGCATTTACACCTTTCAGCTTCAGGCATCGAAGGGAGGAGCCTAAATTCAGTATCCAGACTCGTTCTGTGTTTAGCAGAGCCCCTGGCCTCCTCCCAAAATGGTGAACACAGAAAGATGTGCTTAAAAGCACTAGAATGAAGAACTCAAGAGTGATTAATTAAACACCCATCTTACAAGTAACCATATCTGGAACCTTTTGTGGCCAAGCACAATTTTAGTATTTAGGCCACATTTCAGCATCCCTGAAGCTTTCACATTGGGATCATCACTGGACAGAGAACTGTGCCAGTCCAGCAGAGACCAGATCGTCTTCCCAGGTAGTGAGCCAGACCTGGGTTACTGTCATGCTGCTGCAATAGCTGTGCTCAGCCAGCAGAAAATACCATTGAGTCTGCACCAGAAATAACACAGACTAGGAATAAATTTCCATTCTCTAAAAACTGGCATGTGCCAGGATCCTAAATGGATTGCATGCACAAGCAGATCTTGAACAAGAAAAGCTTGGCTGGGGAGGAAAGGGAAGGAAGAGGTGTCTGCTTGTTTGTTTTAAATCACAATAGATTTTTCCAAAGGCTTTAAAACTCATCTCAGTACACTACTTAGTTACCCTGCGTCAAAGGAGAGCAGTCTTCAGATTGCATTAAGTGTCAGGAAGGATGACTTTCTCTTGCTGCTGTCCTAAACTGTCTCACTCCCACCACTCACATTACTGTGCAAGCAAATAAATCATTATTCTATCAGCAGTGACTATGATGACCTCAATCTCTATTTTGCTGTAAAGGCTCTATTTCCTCAGAAAATTTCAAGCTTGAGGATGGAAATTCTGTTCTTCCTCTTGTTCCCCCCCTTCTACCCAACTCTTTCCTTTCTTCACAGTATGCTTGTAGGCATGCTAGCAGCAGCACTTCACTCATTTTCTCCCTGACAACACATTACATAAGACACACTACTGCATGATCTAAGCAGAGAGAGATGCAGTTCAGCTGAAGTAAATGCCAACGCTGGGTTGCACTGCACTAATAAATGCACTTATTCTTTTTTCTAGAAAATAAATGCAATTGTCATTCCTATGGCTCTTAACCTGAGATTCTGTCTGCCTCTAGGGAAACACCGATCATTTCACAGTCTGAAAAACACCAGAAGAGGATGGAGGAGTGAAACCTCCATGGAAAATTAACTGGGAAGATGCTGCAAGCTGAAAAACGAATTTCTATCTGTGCATTTCTGTCTGTGCCATGTTCTGGGCAGTGCATTTTCCTCATGATTTTCTGACATTTAGAAGCATTTGGCAGCTCATTAAATTCTGCACATGAAGCAATCCAGCCCTGGGAAACTGTCGTATTCCCAGCAGTAGTTCACTGGGGGCACACATACTGTGTTTTCTATGAAGAATGCCACCACTGCTTTGTTCAGTTTCTTGTCATCTTGCCTTACAAGAGAGCAATTTTACATGTAAGTATATACATACTATACTATATTTACATGTAGTATACAGCAAAAAAAGTAAAATGAACACTCCTTGCTTACTACATGCCTTGTAAAGAAACACAATAATGTCTGAGAACACCACGAGCTATCAATATTTTATCCATCAGTTGTTCAACATTTTCTCCACTTTGAACCGGACAGCCCCACCATTGCCAAGGGATCAGGTTGGAGGAGTGCTCTGAGAAAGAATGGAATCTATTGTTGTTGTTTTCTCCTCATTTGAACAAAAATGCATTATTCTATGTAGACATAATCAAGAAGGATGGTGGCAGCCACACTTGGCAGAGAACTTACAGCAAGTTCATTTGCTGAAAGGGGTTGTAGCTTTTCCCTGGATATGTGCTGCACTTAACTGATTACAATTGCCTAGGACACGACTGGCATGTGGGGATCATGTGTGGCAGCCTCTGAGGCTACGCTGTGAGATCACAGACTTTCAGTGTCAGGTCATTCATCACAAAGAAACTACTCTCCAAAGTAAGCTCTTCTCAGGATTTTTAAGAACCCTAAGGCCAAGGCATTTTTGGCAGAGGGAAGTTAATTGTATGCAGAGGAGGCAAGACCTCCACAGCAGTCAGAAGATGATGGCATTGGTATGCCATTCACCACTGAATGCTAAGAAAATGCTCATGGAGCTTCAGCTTCAGAAGTGACAAGTAAATGGTGATTTGTGTAGGAAGACAGCTAGAAGATGCACTGTTCCAACTTTACAGCAAGACAGAAAAAAAGTATGGCAACAGAGTCAAAAAGAAAATAGAGCAATGAGTTAGAGAAGGAAAAGACTCTGAGGCAAGACAGAGTATCCAAAACCAAATCATTTAACGTCAAAGTAGAAAACAGAGGCATACTTAAAGCTTGGATTCTCAAACACTAAACCATTCTGGAAGTTGCAGCAAAGAAAGTTCACTGGGTATGTAATTACATGTGAATAAAGTAACAAGACAAACACAAAATCTTTACTCCAAAACACAACCAGCTTAAGCCTGGAGCCATTCCTTTCAGATTCAAGATATTTTAGTGAATTTGCAAAAACCTGCTACATTTACAAAGGAAAGATAGGAACTGCCATTCTGGTTCTGATCCAGAGATCATCTCAACTAATGCCACGTCTTTCAAAGCAAACAGTCTCAGCTCTTCACAGAAATGGAAAAAAGAAATCTAATCACAGCCAACTGGCCTAAAGGGAAAGTTTTCTTCTGAATTCCCTTGAAACAATGATTGGCTCATGTCTTAGAAGATAAAGAGTTCTCAGATTTTAGTGGATCATTATCAATCTGCTAAGGTCTTGGCTTGGTTCTGCCACAACACTAGCTTCCAGAGGAGTTTAGTGAGTTTTCCTTCAGTGGGACACTAACAGGATGAAAAACATCTGGATAAAATTACGTTTATTTGGATCCTTTCTGCACTGAGTCTGCCTTCATAATTTCCTCTGCTGATAGAGCATAAAATGGTACAAGAGTAGTTTTAATCTAGAAATGGCAGCTCTGATCTTTACTAGCAACCACAGAAATCATTTTTTTCTGTTCTTGTCTCATTTCTCTATGAAGTTTGCAGACAAGTTTTATTCTATGTTAGCTACAAATCAAAATAAAAACTCACTAAAAAAAGCTTGCTAAAAAAAAGCATGAAGAAATCACTGGGGATTCACTAAGAATCTTATAAAGATACTTCAGTCTATGATTTCTTTATTGTTTTAGCAACAGGGAAAAACAATTTTCAGACTGAAAGCAAATACTTCTGTTGTTCTAGAACGTGCCATGTATACTCTAGAAACACATTTATAACATCTGTGTGATGTGGCAGAATGAACTATAGGCAGATGTAAAATAATTAAAACCAACAAACTTTTTGTAAGCGATGATAAGAGTCAGATAAATACACAC